TCATCTACCTCCAAAGTTCGTTCTGCTATAATTCTCATCATCCCAATTGCATCCCTGGTTCCTTTTCCTCTTCTAAATCCAAACTGATCCTCTCCAAGTATATCCTCTATTTTCCTTTTGATTCTTCTTTTAAGTATCTTTACTATTATCTCTGCTGTGTGTGCAATAAGGCTTATTGTGCGATGGTCGCTGCATTTTGTAACTTTTGTCTTTTTCTTTAAGGCAATCATTGTCACTTCTGTAAAGTCCTTGGGCCACTCCCCAGTTTCATATATGGTTTTTATTAGTTTTGTCATACAGAATATACCTGTCAAAATGTACACCATATTTATAAGTACAGTGGAAGTCCAGTGTAACATTTATGGTCTATAAAAAGCGTTTTGTTTTAGCAAGCATTTTTTATGCNCTCATATTATAAGGTAAGGTTATAAAACCACCTTTTAAGATCATTTTAGTGAAAGTTTCATGTTCCTATCTCATAGAATTTAAGAACAATGATGAATAAATCATTTTCGAGCAAAATTTAAATGGCCGGCTGAATATATTACCGCAGGAGACGCAGCCGCGGAATTTAAATTACCGCGTCAAAGGGTTAAAGAATGTACTTTTCTTAGAATGTTTTCTGTAACAAGCCCTTTTCTCTCATTTGTGGGGTTGTGTAAATCTGCATTTGACAACATGACTTAGATGCTAATTTCTGTCCTTCAGGACTCATATGAGCACTTCTGGCAATGCAGCATTCTTGTCTTGGCTCATTAGGGTCATGGAAGGGGGGGGGGATTGGAGATAGCTAGGATCCCCAACAGTCTAAATATATGCACAAGAGAGATTGTCAGTATATCACAGGGTATAACGAATAAAATGTTCAGAATGTTTTCTTTTATCATTAAAAACTGACACATGCTTTACATCCCATGAAAATACTCATGTGACTTTGGGCTTGTATGCATTCACAACATTAATTCATATCTACTTCAGATTTGAGATGTGTCACATAGTTTACATATTACAGAATAACTGTCGGTTCCCTTACAGAACTCCAGTGTTTTCATCAATTACGGTGAAGCCTCTAACAGAAATTAATTAAATAATTTTCCTGGGGAGTAAAGCGCGGCCGGCAAATAAGGCTGACAACCTTACTGCCATCTTTGAGCCGATTGTCTAGATAGTGTGGGACCCTCAGTGTCTCACAACCATATTGGCCTTCACGGCCTGGTACAGGGATAGCTTTACTTTACTTTACTTTACTGCATATATGCACTCTTTTGTTTTTGGGGCAGTTTTTACATATCTTGCTTCTAAACTGCTATAATGAATATTTGATATAGTGTCAGTTTTTTGCACTGTTACGATTCCTGTTATAACAGACTTTCACTGCATAAGACAGCTTGAATCTAATATAGTTCCTGCTCTCAAAAGCAGCAAACAAATTTTTAAATCAGGATAGATGTTTATTATTAGCCAAGTTTTGAATTTTTCTGTAGTGTTTACATGTTGAAAGTGAGTGTCAGTATGAGGAGGAGAATATTGATTTATCAAATTGCAAAAGTACTAAAATTTTGATTGGTTTCCTGCTTTTAGCTGAGAAAATCACAGAAAGTCTCAAAGATATGGCCAAAAAGGTGGACCCAGTTGTCGTTGCCCCAGTTTCAGCACTTAGGAAGGCCATGGGAATATTACCTGGAACCTCATCCCCTGCATCCCCAGCTGAGGTAGTTGGTGCTGAGACTTCACCTGTAGAAATAGGGCAGGAGGATGGAGAACAGAGACAGAATTCTGCTAGTAATACAACTGATGGCATAACATCTACTTGTACCAATGGAGCACCAAATGCTGCAACTGCCGAAGTGTCTAGCATACTTAACGAATCTGTGCCAAGTGAGCCAATGGTGGATGAGGTTGATGTTGAAGGCACTTCTTCACAAGCAGAAGCAGAGGAAGAAGCTGGGGAGGTAGGAGAAGTGCCAGATCTTGAGTCAGAACTCCGAGAATTCTTAGAAAGTGAACCTGCTCTTAGCAATTCGCCACTGCAAGATGACAGGACTATAGAGGAGATACTTTCAGAGTCATAAGAGAATTGAGTACATCATTGAACTTATTCCAGTGCACACTGTACTAGTTTTTATGTCTGTTATCTTATTTTTGTTGTGCATATTTTACATTAATGACTGCCAGTGATTTTTGTTTCAAACCCAGAGAAGTGGTCCATGATGTGGGCAGACATTAATTGCTGAGATGACGGAGCCCAGGTTGTCAGAATAATGAAGAAACTTACCTCTCCCAGTTGATTACTCATCAGAGTAATCATTCCACCCAAGCTTTTTACATCAAAATTGAGTGTTGAATAGTGTTACCTGGCATTCGTTACTTTATTACTAACATGTGAATGATGGTGAATTTTTAATTTCCATTATAATCATTGATTGATCCTTTGCCCATTCCATTTAATATACCAATGTGTGGTGCTATAATATCAATTTTTCCCCAAGTATATAAATTTTAAATGAGATTGTACCATTTTCTGCTACAATGGAAGTGGCAGAGTCCCTTTATTTTTATTACATTTTGCTACATTAGGAGGAGCAAAGGGTTTATTAACAAAGTTTTGTGTTATTTCTGAAGAAACTTCATCATTCCAGAGGCACTTTGGAAGTTAAGTCCTCTGAAATGCTAAAAGTTTCCATCTGAATATTTGAGATTTGCTGGGGAAAGACATCCCATAAAATGAAGGATCACAATGCTACAGGATGTGCCCATTTATGTTGGCAGTGGAAGAATGCCTGTTGCCTGTTCTACATCTTTTACTTCTTTTACTTTCTGTCAGATATTTTCATATGCAAACAACAGAGCACTGCATCTGCATGTTTTAGTATATGGGATGTTCCACAAGAACATACAAGATCTCTGAATGTTTTATGGAACTGTATGTAATCTGTGTGGCAGTTAGAACCCAGCCACATAATTGAAATTGAACTAGAAATGTGCAGGCTTAAACAGGGCTGTTATCCTGACATTAGAATTATTAGTGGAAGTCCATCTTCACCTTGACATAGAAAGTATTAAAAACCTACTTGTACCAAAATATGATGTTATAAAAGGTTTTGTTAGCATTTCAGTAAGTTTATTGGGATGTTTCCTACACACTATTTTTCTTTGTTGTGTTATGTTCTGTGGGGATGTACTTCAGTCACACATGTAAGTTACTTCTATTTCTAAATACATGCAAAAATTTTCAGAGTTGGGGTGTCATACATGCACAATTGCCTAATAAACATTCAGTTTTTTAGAATCTAGATACATGTCAAGTATTTTATAATCGTATAGTATGTCCAGCCCTAAATCTCAACAAAATAAAATATTGCAGTTTCGTGACTAAGTCTGCAGGTGAAATTGACATATTTTCCTGCTAATTCCTTCATCAGGAAACAAATTCTTTCATGTACATCCTGTCCTCTTCAATGCAGGAAAGCATTTCTAAAGCAGATCATTTTAAATTCAAGTCTCTTCTGACCAACTAAAGCTCTTAAACATGCAGTTTTAGTCTCTTGTACAAACCATTATATACAGTTGAGAGAGGCAAGCTTATTTCTAAACTTGTTGTGTGAACAGACTTGTGAAAGCTCATCTGAAATGTTCATGTATGCAGTTGACATTGTTCTGGCATACTATGCGGCATGGAGACCCATTTTGTTGGAAATTTCACCTTCTGTCTTTCGGACACTCGTCTTAACACATCACAGAGCTATCAGTGCACCTTGTTTCAACTGCACCTGATTAAACTTATGTTGAACACAAGTGTGTGATTTAAACTCTGCCAACTGTGGAACACAGTATACTTCCTCTTGTGTGAAGTACATCTTATAGGCTGAAGCAAAATGGGTTGGGATGGGGCTGTTGCCCATGTGCATACTCATGCACACAGAAGGTGACTTGACCAAGCAGGAAGAAAGTTAGAGAGTCTGCACACTACATAAAAATGTTTAGTTTAATGTCTGCTTTCATTGTACATGTATAATATTTTATTAACATGGCTGGACATTCTGTATTTCAGGCTACATTTTAATCACATTCCTGAACTGGTTATTTAATCTCTCTCTTATAACGAATGATCTGCTTCTCATGTTCACTTATCTTTCAAGAATATTTTTATGATATTTGTAACTACTGTACGTATTGTCATAACTTCCCTATTGTTTAATTTTCCATTCTTTATTGATGTAAGAATTTTATAAGAGGGAAGGCAGCTGGTATCTTCTTCTAAATATATCCATAAATAACTTATGTACGTTTCATTAAGCTTTGTGTCAGTGATGCACAATCTCTATATTTTAGTGTGCTACTTTATCAAGCTGCCTTGTCTGCAGGCCACACAATGCAAACTTTATAAACACAATCTAATTCTTATTTTCTATCAGTAGGAACTTTGTAAACAGCCAAATGGAATTCTCCTATTATGTATTAAAAGAAAGTTTTGTAAAAATAAAAATCATTGTTGATAAAATTAAAATGTTCGTAAATAATAAAAAGAGATCACTAATGTGATCATTGAGCCTGCACTGCAAATGCCAAGCATTTCAAGTCAGGTGTGATTGTTGTTGTGCTAACTCAAAGGATTGATGTAAGATTTTCATCTGTCAGTGGGTTTATCTTCAATGAGAAGGCCTATTCACACATGTAAATGCTTCCAAACTTCCACAAGGTTCTCCAAACAATATGAAAATTTTCCAAGGTGCATACCGGTCTGCAATTTGCACACAACTTTCAACCTTCTGCATGTACGTGATTGCATTGTGGTAGCCTAATACAACACATCTCCAGGCCAACAACCACTTTCTAGTTGACCTGCAGAGCAAAGCAAGTGCTAGGCAATCATTGCATACCATGGCAGCACCAACGCCCATTGGCCCAGGCACCGCTCACAACAGCTGATAAAGATGCAGGCCACATGGCACTAGTGAGTCAATCGGAGTGGTCAGAGCTGCTGTTAGTTGGCATCAGGATCTGGAGATCTGGAGCTCACACCGCAATAGCAAACCTCCTGGCAGAAACGCTGCCAACCTACTCAAGAAATAGTCGCTTTGACCCTTGAGAAGTTCTCCGTCGTTGCTTGCCATGCTACAGCCGGCTTGCAATAACCTGGCTACCGAACAAGGAGGACCACAGTCGCTCACGCAAACCAGCCCAATGTGACCGGAGTTTCTCCGGCATTATCAGGAATTTATATGGTTGCCTCTCCAAATACCAGAACTGACATCCCACAATATAACAAAATTATACAGGCAACAACCAGAAGCTGTACATCATCATGAGAATGAACATGTTCGCACCATAGGTCAAGGCAAATTCAGACACATAATATGAGAGGCTTAAACTTGGTGGCGGTCAAGCTTACGACCGCTCAGCTGACAATGTTGCCGTTGTAGCATAAAAATGAATAAGAGAAGCATGATCTGATTTGCAAAGTCTGGACTAGTGAAGGACTTTTGTGTGGTGCAAAAGGAAAAATTTTCAGTAACGTGCTACATGTACAATATGTACGCTTGAAAAGGGTTAAGCATGTTCGTGTCAATTCATCCTCTCATGAGAAAGTATTGTGACGTTGCGCTATGGATGACGCCCCTCCTCCCCGCCAGCCGTGACGTGCCGAGCGGAGCCGAAGTGAGCCGAGTCCCGGCATGCTGGTCGCTAAGCAAAGCGAGTAAACAGCGGTTACTAAGCAAAGCGGGTAAACAGTGGCTGCGAGAGACGACGGTAATAACAGCGGTACCAATTACGTAACAGGCAAACACAGTGTCAGACAACAGTGGTGCCTTTTACGTAACTGTTTTCCCGTGTCCGGCTGAGGGTTTATAGAGCACTACACTGCCTACAGAGTGAGTTAGACTGACGGACAGACTGGTGAGTGAACTGTGTGTGTGTGGGAGTGCGTGCGTGCGCGCGCGCGCCCACCCCGTGTGGTGGCGGGGTCGAATATCTCCACCGTGACCCTGCGAGTCGTAGGAGGCGACGAAAAGGAAGTCTTAATTCTGAGACAGTAAAATACGGTCGCGAGTCCCAAGGGATTCGGACCCGAGTATGACTGCGCTGGCAAGGGCCAACAGCATATGCAAAAGACAGACCCGTCCTCTCGTCAGAGAAGGCGCCCCACAGAAACAAGACCGTAACTGTCAAACGGTAGCTCGACACCAAGACTTACTGACTGATTGACCGTCAGTCGCAATGTGACTTTGACTTTGACAGAGTGAGTTTAGTTATCAGTCGCCGAAGTGAGTCCTCAAATTACGAGTTACGAGTAAGCAAGAGAGTCGGTCACCAGTTAATTGCAGCCAAGTAACTGTGATACTGCAGATAGCAGTAATGCCGAGCTTGTAAATTGTGTGATTGTAAGAGCGAATGTGAAATAAAATTCGCTATATCCAATAGGGCGTGAAGTTATTTGTCGCGTTATACACTAAACACGTGACAGTATGTTAGAGGACTGACCACAAGGATGCACTTAACAGAAATACGTCTCTCGCGTCCTCAAACGGCTCGGCGCTGAAACATTTCGCGGTAAACTGACAATTACAAACGCTGTAAAGTAACTCTGACACTGAACATTCGTGGCAGCACCATCGCATAACTGCTCGAGACATTGCAAGCCGTGACGTCATATAATCCGATCCTGGATTGTTCGCCTCTCCGGCGTGGTCTGGTAGCAGGTACCAACATTTCGGATGCATTATGTTACGCCGAAATATTGATATCCACTTATCAGTTTACACGATGTTATTACCAACAAGACCACAATACGATTCTTCAAACCCAAGAAAACTGCAAATATAACAGTAAGCTTAATTTACCTAGTGATTTTGAATGGTAGAAAGCTGCGATTATCAGAAAGAATCATTGGGTTTTTAGAAACTACTTGTAATTATGAGGCTAATGCTAGTTTCAGATGTGCAAGTGAAAAATGTTGTTTTGCTTACGCGTATCTTGAGCCTATCAAATTAATTCAGGCGTGAGATGTCGTGCTGCAAGCGTGCCGCCAGAATGCGCTTTGTTTTCAAAAATGTTTTAAACCCGAAAAATCAAAGTTGGTCATTCTGTGTATACAGCTGTCTAATGGAACAATTGAAGTGAATGAAGTATTGAAGAGGATGGGGTCTAGCAGTGTTGATTCGTGAATGTTGGGAGTAGGGATTCGTGTGGGAACACAGTTAAAATGCGGTGAAGTTTCAGTCATATTTACAGTTCTGGGCACCCATACACATCATATAAAGGTATTCCACGTTGTATGCAATACACCATTTAATAAAGAAAAAAATAAAATTGTTAGAAAACCCGGTATTTACAAGAGATGGATTCGCAGATGTTTTAAATGAACGAAATCAGTGTGTAGTTCAGAGTAGTGAACTCATGTCGTATATAATTTATATCAATTTTATCAGTGACAGGAGTTTTGCGCGTATTACAGGAACAAAATAATACTATGTTGTAATACCAAAGTTTATCAGTGGACATGTTTCTGAGTCATTTCAGTCAAGTTCCACTCGTTCAGTTTAACATTATCATTCCAGCCTCCTCGGTCTTCCAAATGGCCTCTTTCCAACAAGTTTCCCCATAAAAATTTCTAAGCACTGATTTTGTATAATTTTGTTTAGAATTGGATGTTTCTTTGCAGGATGTTATATTTTCATTTTCTAAATCTGTTAGCTTAATTTGAATTATGTTTGTAGGAAGATTTTGGCTGCATATATTTATTATGTACTTCATGGTTACATGTTTCTTCAATTTTAATTTGATAACTTCCATATTTCTACTTCTAGGTCCAAGATGTCAAGTGGTAAATGCAAGAATTGCGGCTGCTCTGAAATTGATGTGGATCCAGCCCGTGGAGATGCAGTGTGTACAAACTGTGGTTCAGTTCTGGAAGACAGCATCATTGTGTCTGAAGTTCAGTTTGAAGAGAATGCACATGGGGGTAGCTCAGCATTGGGACAATTTGTTTCGTCTGACTCCAAAGGAGGCGCAAGAGGGTTTGGGGGTTGTAAGTGATCAAACTTTAATAAAATTAATAATTTTCTACAGCTTTATAGAATATGAAAAAAAATAATGTTCATAATTAGTTATAGTTTGAGGTCCTCATTTTTAGTATTTGCCACTAAGTGAATGGTAACTTCTTAATTTAATTAAATAGCATTTTTTATAAATAAGCCATTGTACATTAATAAAAATATGAGGTATAAATATAATGTGAAAATGAAAACAGTATTAATTTGGGTTCAGGAGTAGAGCAAGATTGGAGGACTTCCTCAAGTTGGTAATGTGTCTCTTATATGATTGATTTCAATGTGTAGTTTCTACCTTTTATTAAGTATCAGCCACCAGTACCCTGTAAAACCTGCATAAACACTGGGCCCAAGTTGGATGTTTGGTCACTATAGTAATATCTGTACTTTTAACAGTTGGTTTTCTTTTATTTGTTTAGCTTTTCACGTTGGACTTGGAAAAGAATCAAGAGAGATAACATTAAGGAATGCAAAAAGAGCAATAGTTAATTTGGCTCAACAACTTCGGTAAGATTTAAGAAAATTATTATTTTATGTTATGTTAGGCGTGCTGGACCCATTACTTAACATTATTGACGATATCAATTTATACTCTCAATTTGAATGACTAGAATGAACAGAGGATCAAACTTTTGACACGAATTATCTCATATTTTTATACTGAAGCATTCAATGCCATGACTCAATATTGTTCCAGTCTCATATGCCATTGTTATTAGTGTTATTACATTATTTAATAAAGAAAAATAAGGCTCGTGGCATTATCATCTTTATATGTATCCTTTCATCTGTCCATTTGTGGGTATGGCTAGAAATAGCTTTTGAATCAGTTGATGGTTTTCTATGAAACTTGTGTGAACATCATAATGGCAGAAACCACACACAATTATACTTCATAACTTCCTACTGAAATAAAAGGGAGTGGACATTTGACCACTCTTGAATCATGACCAATAATCTGTTGTGATCCAAAGTGACAGTAGGTAAGTCCAAGAAGTAGCTCATAAAAGCACAGTACATGTAAGACAATTTCATTAGAGTTGTGACATGTGCTACAAGTGAGATAATCAACAGTATTAGCTTATATGTGTCCTGTTAAATGAAAGTGACCTGTTAGTATTTTTGTCACAATTTTTAGCTTGTTCCTATAAGGTAACAGTAGTTTCCTGGTTCTATTTAGAAGAGCCATGGAAAAGAAGTTTTGCATGTCTGTGCCTAGTTGCACTTCTGATGTTCCAAGTAACCTTTATATATCCATCCCTTATAGCACTCTTGATTGTTAAGATGACAGTCAAGAACTTTGAAGATTTAAGCAACACCTGAATGCAAAAAGTATTTAGAGCAGTGGTGAATTAGTCATTTTTCTTCTTCACTGGCACTGCAACCCTGTATGGGTCTTGGATGCCTTCATGATTCTCCACCATAGGATTAATTCATCTCCTTGTCATTATTTAAGGAGACAGTCATTATGTGTATTTATCATTTAATATATTGTCACATGTTTGTGATCAGACATGGGGTTTGGACTGATAATTGGATTTATTGAATGTGTAACTTGTAACTTACAAATAAGTATAACAGTCTCACTGATTTACACACTGTAGATCACTACATGTACAGCTGACATAAAGTCTTCTGTTTGTTCACTAGTTGTTGCTAGATAGTGGCTGCTAACAGTGCAACTCAAGACTAACTTCTAACTGCTGACACCAACCTCTAACTGATTCACTTTTCCTGTTGGTCCTTGCTATATAGCCTAAGCATGGGCTTCCTAGAAAATACTGCTTCCAACATTTTCTGTATTGTTGCATGTTGATTTGTTGCAGCAGAAATATGTTTACCATGCCGTTGCCTAGCAGTGGCCGCCTCTTCTTGTTAAATTGTTCCAGCTTTCAGCAATCATGTCACAATATGAAACATTTCTCTATCATTCCATTTTATATAATGAATATGAACCAGACAAAAATATCTTAATTTTGCTATAACTCATATGTGTGGATGACTGCAGTTAGTGCTTAGTACATGTTTCATGGTGATCCATTTTAATTGTATTTGTTCTAATTAAAGGTTAAATCAGCATTGTACAGAAACAGCATTTAACTTCTACAAAATGGCATTACAAGGCCAATTAACAAGAGGCAGAAGAAATACCCATGTTGTTGCTGCGTGTGTTTATATGACTTGCCGGATTGAAGCAACTCCACGTATCCTTTTCTGTTAAAGTAGTAAGATATTGGTATAGAGATCTTTAGAGTGTTTAGAGAATCACATCAGTTATTAATATCTTAAAGTTATTCTTGCTTAACTTGTTAAGGAGGTGCTCCTCATTAAAGAGGCTATATGCAAGAAGACTGTTTCATGTGTGGGATGTTGGTTCTGGCATTTGGAGAGACAACCATGTAAATTCCTGATGAATTGAGGCAAAGCTCAAGCTGCATCATGCTGGTCTTCGTAAGCAATGGTGGTCCTCTGTGTTCGATAGTTGGGTGACTGAGCTGGCCGTAGAGTGGCAAGCGCTGGTGGAGGGCTTCCCAAGGGTTGAGGCGAACACTTTTCAGAGTTGGTTGGTGGCGTTGCTGCTAGGAGTGTCACTATTGCTGCCATATGCACTTCACAAGCTGTTGTGATGTAAGAGTAGCTCTGACTGACTCAGTAGCACAATGTGGTCTGCATCTTTATCTGCTGTTTCTAGTGGTGCCTGGCCCAGTGGGTGCTGGTGCTGCTGTGGTCCTCACTGATTGGCTAGTGCTTGCTTTGCACTGCTGGTCAACCAGAAATTTGTAGTTGGCCTGGTGATATGTTGTGATAGTCTCCCACACATGTTTAAGAAATAAGTCAGAGGCAAAATTAACTAGAATTATTATTCTTTTATATTTGAGGCTGTCATGGATATGAATATTAGGATTGTGTCTTTTTGAATGAGATACCTTGTAGCCTGGGAGTATGTTATCAACATTTAAAAGGAACATACTGCTTCCATCTTCAGAGTCTGCTGCCTGAAGTCTTAAGAATCTTTATTTTTCCCCTCTCAGTACATATACTGTAATATACGAGTAGACGACAGTGTTATACCTGTGTAAGGACTAAACCTAATTTGATCTGCATGCTCAAAAATGCTATGTAAATTGTTCTCCCCTTAGCACCAAAAGTGTATTTTCTTCGTCTCTTAGTCATATCTGTTGGATAATCTCATTGTTCATGGTTGTACATTATATTTATGGTGACAGTGTTCCTTATGCATATTGTCTTTAGTATCAGAGTAATTTGTTTTAACATGAAATAGTGCAAAGTAACTATTTTTCTGTGAAATGATATGACAGAATCTGGAGTCTAACTGAATGCAGTAGATGTGTGATGTATTGTGATCTCTTCCTAAGATTTCCAATATTTCTTTCTCTTGGTTTAAATAATAAATCATTAGGAGAGGTATATAAGCTTCCGTCCTGTTATTTGTAATGGCCGTCTTGTAGTGCACTCAATTTCATATGTCACTTCTTACTGCATGTTTCGGCAACATAGTGCCATCTTCAGGTTCGTCATTTACGCTAAGCTATTACATTGCTTGCCATCTTGCGTCCTTCATAAAATTATTTAGAAAGTTCATTATTCATCAACTATAATAAAATTTGTATATACTAAAACTTGTTAAGATTATTCATCTATATGTCTTAATTCAAACTCGCGTATAGTATGGTTCATCCACTATGGGAGTTGTTTTTGTGTGTACTGTGTCTGTGATGTGTCCTTCCTTTTGGCTGCGAGTGTTGTTTGTGTTTGTGTTTCTGGTAATCATGTTGTGGAGTGTCCTTGGGTTGATGCCACACAAATGTTCTAATAGCCATAGGCTCCATCCATTTTATCCCTTAAACTCTTTGCCAGTGTAACCCTATGCTGATACTGAATGTTGCAGAGGAGTGGTTACCATTCTGACTTTTAAGAGATCATAAGTTAAATTATCAGCTTGAAGTTCAGCTACCCTGAGTGAGAAGTTTCATAGTTTTCCTCATTCTCTCTAGACAGATGTTGGGATAATACCTTCAAACATGGGTCACAGCCCTTTCGTTCATATCTATTCCAATCCACCATTTAGATGTGTTCTGCAGTTTGACAGTGTACAACCAGTGCATTTAAAATAGGATTGATAAATAAACCAAGAATCAGTTAATGCTATGCTGATTCTCTTTACTGGGAATGATGAGTATTTGTCTGAAAATAAATTTATTAGCAATTCTGTTTCAGTATGGTACAGATTTCTTTCAAATAACAATGACAGACACTTACCTTAATGAAAGATCAGATATGTTGATTGACTTCAGTGATGTCCTACAAATATGTGTTTATGAACTTGGACGCACCTATCTGAGATTGTCCCAAGCTCTCTGCATCAACATTCCATCCATAGGTGAGTACTGTTACAATTTACATCCCTTGAAGAGTATTCAGTCCATTGCAAGCAGACAAGCAGAAAAGAACATCCCTTCAGCCATAATTAAAAGTCTTTTGTAACATTCAATGATTTGAAATCAACCTATTTTTTATGGTTCCAAAGGATTTAAATGTTTCCTTCTTCAGAAATTTGTAAAATGTTTAAGGTTTTCTGTTTTGGCAAAAAGTGCAATTACAATTTTGAGTTTTTTTTTGGGTGTGGGGCACTTCACGGAGTTCAGGAAGTGATCACCCCTTTTTAATCAACAGTGTTGTCATATCTTAATGGATAGGACCATGATCTTCAGTTTGTCCAATCACAGCTCAACTTCTCATTCACCACCTGCTGTCAGATCTATGTAAGAGGTTTTGAAATCACCCAAAGAGAGTCACAAGACATAGTAATATGGTTGTGGGTCCCACAGGGCCTGAAACCAAGAATGACTGTGCTGGCAAAGCCCAGCAGTAAATTACCAGACCAGACAAGACCAGACCAAAGACACTGACACTAAGTATGGAAACTGCAGTGTTTCTGAAACAGTGGGAATCCTTCAGAATTCTAAACTACATAATCCCAAACATGAAGTCATACATGACTACTGCAGACAGTTGGCCCCTTTTATAAAGCTACTGTGAACATGTCACTGGATACATCCCTGTTTTGGTATCTGCCGTGTGGCCACTGTGAGAATCCAGGATCTGACATTTTATATTGAAATAGATCTTTGAAAACTCTGCATTTAGCACTTACGAATATGGAAAGTAACATGGTAGCTGCAGAAGTTTGGAAATTCATTTAATGAGTGATGATGTGTATACAGGTATTTAATAACCATTGATATAATTACATCATAAAATTTAATGTAGAATGATAACTTTACCTTTAAAATGTTGTATGGAGACATATTACAAAGAAATATGTTAGTATCACGCGCCATAGCTCAAGCAGTTAGTCGCTGGCTTTCTACCGCGGCGGCCTGGGTTCGATCCTGGGTCTGGTCAAGTGGGATTTGTGGTGGACAAAGTGGTGCTGGGGCAGGTTTTCTCCAAGTACTTTGGTTTCTCCTGCCAATCTTCATTCCACCAATTGCTCCACAATCACCCTCACCTATCATCTGGGGCTGGTACAATAGGTCAGAAGTGTCCGCAGTACAAGGGACTTAGTCCCACCCCGCTAGCAATAAAAAAATCATGTTTTGATACCTGTACTGACTAATCCTTTGGAGCCCAGAAATATGCCAAGATATTGCTTTCAGTACTTGTGAAATTTTATATTTGGTGCAGCAGCTGATTGCAATAGGTGAATTTAAATATAATGTGTAAGATACTGATCAGTTTTCAGGATATTACCCATCATACTAATTTTTATTTGAGATGACATTTCAGAGACTGGGTCTCCATCCTCAGATTAAAAAAGAAAAAACTACCCTGTTAGTCTCAACTGATAGAGGTAGTCCCTAGCTAGTTTGATTTTGTAACAGGTCTGCAGTGTGTGGCCAGGGAAAGGGAAATTTTGTTGATACTAATTCATTGTTCTAACCACCACCAGCTTATTGAAAATGTCAAAATGACCAAGTAGAGATAAACCATCCTTTGAGTAAATTTTATCAGAATGTACTCGATGTTTTTGCAACCAACCATGAACTTCAGCAGGGTCACTAAGAATGAATACTGGATTTTTCAAATTTGTAAGCTTGAAGGAGACCATGTAGGTGACTGAAATGTAAGACAGGGGATAAAATTAAAATATATCTAGCTTAAAATAGGTTGTGGAGATATGAATTTGATTCATTTAACTGCAGAAAGAATCCGCTTTCCTCTTTATGGTTTATTTTATGATGCTGTCAGTATCTCTCACAATGATTACTGGTGAATAAAGAAGTGGAAATGATTTGGAGTGTTCATGGCCTAACTAAGATATTACTGCAGCATCTGCCTGCAAGAACTGAGGAAAACCATAAAGAAAACCTCAGGATATCCAGTGACCCAGCTAAGATAACTGAGCATCCCCAAAATAAAAATCTAGGAGTATTACCGCTGCACCATTCTGCTTGGTGAAACGGCCCACTGTTGGATGTTTGTGATAATGGTGATGAATCTTTTGGGTCTATAAAGGAGGAAATTTGTTAAATCGCTGAATTATCTCTTGACTGTTCAGAGGGAAGTTAATCATCTATCTGGCTTCTGGAAACTTACTAGCCTTCCTTTTCTACAGAGTTCTTGGACACTTATTATTTTTTAAGTTGAGGAAAGTGTTGTGAAGTTAATTCTGTTGAAGGTTAGCCACCTGCACCTATTAATGCACGAGTGTTGAAGCAATTAACTGGGTGTGTCTGTATATGAAAGCAGTACCTGATACTGCAGTGGATGTAGATGATTGAAGTGATATTGTAACGTGTTTAGTTGCTGAAGACGCCGTTCAGATTGTTAATTGGTTTATTTAACAACCTACAAGTCGTAACTACAGTTGATTATAACACTGTTGCGGAATTTCACACTTTATAACCCTATTCGCAATAATTAATTCACTCTATCCTCAGTAGTCTACACGTTTTCACAGTACGGAAGCTATACAAGTGCAACTTAACAGCTCACTCCCAATTACTTTCAGTTATCACAAACTATCCTTGGTTATCACACGAGCCTGGTTCTTCTTTCCGCGACTGCTGCTAGATTCCAACTGTGTTGCTCCTGTTCACACACTCTCGCTTACTGCTCAGCCGGCTTTTTATTCTGTTTGCTGTTGCCTGTTGCCCGTGACAACAGTGGCGTTGCATGCCTCGTCACAGTAGGAAGCGGTGCCACGTAACCCGGGGGGGGGNGAGCGTTGACTCACCTGCTACGTTACCATGGCCAGAGCTGCCACGTCACTGCTGGGGGAGGGAGGGGGTGTCTTCCATAGCGCAACACGTCACACTATAATTGATGGACAGCATGTGTGTGCTAGGAAATGAACGTATCTACAGTGGTATTAAAAGAGAAAGGGCTAAATATTTTGATAGACATTTCTAAACATGCTGTAAGTAGTTTTGTGGCTCTAGCTTATCTGGACTTGTAATAGAAGCCTGGCATTCGAGAAATATGTTCTTGCCCATAGTTAGTGAGACTGACATACAAACTTTTGGTTTGGAATATTAAAATCTAGGTGAGATAAGGATTGTAAATCGAAAGGTCAGTGCTGGATTTGCTGTCAGGAGCTTTGAAATGAGAACATATTAGCAAGGAGACTTGGAGATAACTAGAGTTAGAAATGTCCAGTTCCTAGAAAGAATGCTTGAAAATGGTTTTTTGGCACCAGAGCCCATAACAAGTTGTGATCTTAATCACAAATTATTTGAATCACTCATATGGTGATCCCTTAGTTCTACAGATGAGACTGCAGAGAGTTAAGACATTTGACTACCTATTGTACAAGTATGAGGGCATTAGGAAAGTAACCTCTGGTGAGCTGTTAACAAAACAAGTGACAAGAAAAGAATTATTTTATACAAAAAATATGTACATACTTAAGCTGCTTCTTAATGCAGTCACTGCTGGAACTGAGGCATCTGTTATGTCAGGGAATAATTTTTTGCATACCTATGTCAAAGAAGTCTGCCACCTGTAAGCTCAGCCATGTTTTGACACCTTCCATCAACGCCTCATTATTGTTGAAGCGTTGTGATCCCAGCCACTTCCTCCAAGTAGGTAAACAGGTGGTAGTCGCTCGGAGCAAAATCAGGGCTGTATGGAGGGTGGTCAAACAACTCCTGGATGAAATGCTCCAGGAGTGGAGTGCAAGCAGCTGTTTGGGGATCTGCATTGTCATGAAGGAGCATTCCATTGGATGTCAGCACTCCACACCTTTTGTTCTGAATGGCCCTATGCGGTATTTTTAGCGTTTTGTAATACACTTCTGACATTGTGGTCCCTTGTTGCATGAACTCCACCATCAGCATTCCTTTCCTGTCCCAACAGCTTTCCGGTAGACAGCATTTGTTAAACTTTTTGGCTTGTTTGCTGAATGTGTGTGCATCCATTGCCTTGACTGCTTTTTGGTTTCAGCATTCACAAATGAAACCCAAGTTTCATCACCTGTTACTCATAAATTATGATTGAGAAATTTGTCACCATCTTTGTGGTATTGTTCTAAAAATGTCAATGCCAAAGCCATTCTCTGCATTTATGCACACCTGTGAGCATTTTTGGAGCCCATCTTGCACAAAACCTGTGATAGACTAGCCTAACTGTGATAATCTTTTACAGAAGTGTGTGTGAACTTTTTGGTAATTCACAGAAAATTATGAAATTGTGATGCACTGTCTTTCACAAATTTTTTGGTCAACACTTTGAACATCATCATCACTCACTACCTATGGAAGGCTGACCACTTCGCTTTCATCATGTACATTTGTTTGCCCATCTTTGAACATTCTCTTGTCTTACATTTCTATTCTTATCGTTTGCTTCCTGTTGTGTAGTCATACATTCCTTCACTCATTACATTTTGGCTGTAAACTGCGTATAATTCACAATGGATTTCTGCAGCAATCATGTTTTAGCATGAAGAAAATGGATAACAGTGTGAATTATGCAACTGGTGGGATAATCAATTGCAGGACACATCACCAACTCACTCTGCAGAGACAAGAACAAACACTATATGACCAATTTGATGGTTTACAAGGCAATGAGTCATGTGATGCTATCTCACATGCACGAGTTGTCCCCTGCATCTACAAGAGTTGCTTAAAGAAATGGAGGTTACTTTCCGAATAGCTGTCATATGTATTACACCTAAAGAGTACACTGAAGAGGAAAGGAAATATTCTGTTACCATAGGAGACAAGAGCCCTCTGGCAGAACAGATTTAACAGCTGACCACAACTACAGAATCCCTTAAAGCACAGCTAATTGCATGTACCACCTGCTTTAACATTTTAAAACTCAATGCTTTATTCACAGAGTGCATTTGTGAGTTCTGTATAATTCTCAGAG